CTGTGATTTCCATAATAGAATAATGCCACTTTTTAATGCTGTGCTGCCTTAAATTGAATTAATGCCATTGAACTACATTTTGTGATGTAGTTTTTTTGCAGACTGGTGAACCTCTGCCCATCTTTAATTCTAAGAACGTCTGCCTCTCTAAGACCCCCTTTTTATACCCCAAAGTATTGCTGATGAGTTTCAAAATGTTCCTCCAGCTGTTACTGTTTAGTGCCATTTACTTTTCCAGCCTGTCGCAATTGGGTTTGTACTTAATACCCAACTGATGCTCCCATCTTTATCAACAAGACAGGACTGAGCTATCGCAGCAGCTGCACTAGTCACCATACTCAACATGTAGTTTTTGCTGCGCCACGTCATGTCTTACATGTGTTATGCTTGTGGGCATCCTTCTTCTTTTAAGTGTATCCCTCACCCTTCACTTCTTGAAGAATTACAACCTACGCTACCTACCTAGTTTAGTATTGCAGTACTTCCACTGTCCCCTTTGTTACACTATTAGAAAAAGTTACTGCATATTAGATTATGTGTATGTACATGCAGTTCAGTTGGAAACAAGTGTCTGAGGGTCGATCTTTATTGCAGTTTTCAGTGTTGTAGCAATGCAGGGGGTATAGGGACAACTTGAAAAAGACTGGGGCAGGGATAGCTCAGTAGGTAGAGTGGTGGCCCCATGATCGGAAGGTCGGGGGTTCGACTCCACTGAACGGTTACCCTGAGGTACCCCTGAGCAAGGTACCGTCCCTACACACTGCTCCCCGGGCGCTGCATTGGTGACTGCCCACTGCTTCACTGGGTGAATGGGTTAAATGCAGAGGAGCAATTTCCCTATGGGGACTAACACATACACATTAAACACACACATTAAAAGAGGAGACATTCTGGAGAAAACTCTAAAAAAAGAAAAGTGATGCTGATGCTGAGGTTTATTCTGAGCTGTTATAGCTGTCATTTAGAAGCCCACCAAGTCCAGTATGCCTCCAGCATCAGTGAAAATGAATAAAGGGCTGTGATGATGTCACAATTGGCACAAGTGACAACCGTTGCGGTGACCACAAATGAGGCTTAAGGAACATTTAAGACTGGTGATTAATTTTACTAGTTAATATGCTAGTAGGTAGTTAAATCCATAATGCATTACAATTTTAAGCTGATTATACAGTATTTGGCATGTAAAATCTTAATCTGCAATACAAGCTGCACGAGCCGCCAAATAGTGTTTAGCGGATAAAAAAAAAAGTACAATATTTCTTGTTAAATTGTAATTAAGAACATATAAAGCAGGATGATGTCAAACTATTCAGGCTCAAGGACCTTGGAAATGTGCCAGTATTTGGTAGCACTTCCCTGTTACGACTGTAAGCACTAAGAAGAGAATGACAAAGTATTGTATTGATCCCTAACGGTGAACACCTTGATTGAAATGAACCTAAAACATTCATCACCACTGACACACAAAGACACCAATACATCACTAAAAGCACCCACACTACCTTTAATCTAATTATGCCACCACAGGGATCACCAAGAACGATTATTCACCACTGAGTTAATTTTACATAAGAAAAGCAAACAAAGCCCACTGACTATCAGTGGTATTTGCAGCAGGGGAAACGCTATACCTTCCCAGTAATGGAGCGGAAAAGTAGCTGGTGCTGCTGCTGCCAAACACGCCACACAACAAGAGGCGTTCTGGCCCCGTTAACACAGGGAAACATATTTCTGTCAGCACTCCATCAATATTTATGTTAGAGAGGCCAAGTAAGAAAAAGGCAGCAGTTAAAGCAATTGGCAGCAATGTGTTCTTGTGTCTGAGCCCTGTTGCCACGGCATTATGTCAAAAACATTAACTGTAACACGCAAACAGAGGAGTGCGTGAGCACGCCCATGACACAAAGCAGGCCAGCGCTAAGGCAGCAAAGATGGGAAGAAGACAGAGGTTTGAAGCAACGTCTTATATCAAAAAATAAACATTTTAAAAAATGCACTAAAGCCAGCGTTGCTGCTTTAATCTATCACTGCAATTATGATTCAGCAGCTGTTCCTCTTAGCGTGCAAACAGCTAGTGCTCGGGGAGCGGCTGGACGGCCAACCTCTAGAGACGGGCCGCGGATTGCTCTGAGGTGTTGGCACCGTGCCAAGCCAATTTTGCCCTGTCCTTTCAGATCCTTATCAAGGGCGGTAATAACAAAAGGTAAATCACAGCCTCTATGAGTGAGTGAGAGAGCGCGTGTGTGTTTCCGCACGCATATTTTACATCTGTTCCCGTGGAAGTGGCTGTGCTGCATGAGTAAACGCATGCATATTCTGACGAAACTCCTCATGCATCAGCATATTTGTATGTGGATTTCGACTGCGTGGGCTTAGTCGGGCTCTGACTGTGTGCATGTGGGGTCAGTGCAACAGGGCGGTCAACGGCTAATCAGACATTAGATGCACTCCCCTATCCTCTGTGCACACCTTGTGAGCAGGCAGCAGTCGTGAATGAGGGTTTCTTCCACGTAGATGCCTCGGTCTTCCTGCGTGGTCACGATGTGCCCGTTATGACGCCACAGCAGCTCCACTGATGGGTCCAAGTAGGAAGCGGTGCACTGCAGGGGGAGGCGGTCACCATGGAAAACAAGCTGCCTCCGGGACGGGATGAGCTGAAACAGGGGCATCTCCAAAGGTCCATCTGGAACACGAAGAAGATTTAAAGCAGAATGGTTATCTTGGAAAGCTTCCTTTAGCTTCTTTGAGACAGGAAAAAAGCCAGAATGGAGATTTTCGGGGAATGGAAGTTCTACAGACTCCACATCACATATGGATTCAAATCAGGCATCAGGTCTTTCCACATATTCCACCACAAGCACAAGCATTCTTCTCGGGAAAACCAAACACGCATGCTCCTTAAAATATTATAAACACACAGAAACCTTTTGTCAAGGTCACACCCCTCCCCCATCCTTCACACACTGTTGCTGTTGCTCAGCGAAACCAACAGGAGCTGATAAAGTGACAGCCCAGAGTGCTCCCCTGGACTCTCCTTGACACCTAAAATTTTCACATAGGAAGCTGACAATAGTGCCAGCAGCTGGCCAGGTCAACAGGCTTTTTTGCCAAAGATAAAAGGCTACAACTGCGAGGAGATTAGAAGCCAGAGTGTTTAGTCTAGTGCCAGAAAATGGACCTGATTTTGGAAAAATGATTGATCTAAGCATACTGTTGAAATATGATATACAACACAGTGTAATGTCTCTAATCATACTGAACCCTTGGAGATCAGTGCTGTCCATTTTGCAGGGCATGGATTGGTGCCTTGACAGCTCAGTGCACTACACTGGGAACTCTCTCAGAGCTTGGAACAATAAAACAAATGTCTGTGAATAAAAAAAACATCCAGTTAAAAAAAATCATGTAAATATAAACATAATGTAATAATTAGAAAATCAAGGTATTTTATTTTTATTCACGTTCCTTGCACATGCTCCAAAGAGCAACATAAGCAGGCGCTTTGCCTGCATTGTGTCTTTTGTAATGAGTTATATATGCTGAAAGCACCAGACACACAATTCAATTTGTGGCTCATAAACCCTTTTTATTGCTCGATGAATTGGTTTGAAAGAGGAAAACAGTGAAAGATCCATGTTGGGTGGTAGCAAAAGGTCTAAGTTCACAAGCTGACATTTCCCTTGAGTAGCCTTCAGTAGCTAGCAATATTACTTATTGTAACATAGAACCCACAGGGCAATCACAGCTATTAACACAAGCAGAGCCTTGACCTCAGCTTTCTACATAAGTAGTTTATAATCATAGGTGTATAATTAAAAGTGACATGCTTTTGAGAGTGACTTTAAAAACTGGTCACTAATATTGCCTCCTACACGGCAACATCTCAGTGTAATTGCTTGATGACCCTGTTAGATTGTCGAGACTCTATGACAGTAGTGGCAGATGAGGCTTTGCTATCTCTTCTGCATGAAACACAACAGAAACAGCATGGGGGCCATTGATTGTTGACTAGTCTGGTGCTAACACTGTTGAAACAACACTTTGAGGCAAGGATCAGAGTGTGGCTGCTTGCCTTTGGCCACTGGACACTGTCAGAGCAAAATGTAATTGTTGGCTGTGGGTTTGGGAGTGTGTGTAGGACAACCAAAGGAAGTCAGGGACAGGGACAGAGACATAATTATATGTGCAAGAACTAGGGGCATGTGCACTGGAGCCGAGTCTGTGAAAAAAAACAAACAGTACAATGCTTTTGAATTAGCAGTGCCTTAGCACCAGATTATATGTATGCATCTTCTTTTAAATCCTATGTGAAATATACAGTTGTGGCCAAAGGTTTCCATACACTCATCATGTGCATGAATGTAATGGTAATTTGGAGGTTCTAACAATTTCCTTTAACTGGTGTTTTTCCAGCAATCATCATCTTTAATGATTAAAAAAATAATAATTGGGTGCTCATGTTTGATTTTATTTTGGAATTTCTCCAACCTACACAGGGACACAACTATACATAGAGACTGAAATATATACATACAGTCATCTCAATCTTTTAATAAGTGGTGATGAAGGTGCTAAAGTGTCAATTAACTTTTCATTCAAGACTTAAACTGGAAGATTCGCTTTGCTAGCATGAAATTTACTTGTTTGACAGGACTCATTGGATTCACCAATGGTCGGGAAAATGGGAAAGTCCAAGAACCTTAGTGAAGGAAAATTGTAGATTTACACAAGGTCTCTTGGAGCCATTTCTAAACAACTACAAATTGTCAATTGCAGGTAAGTACAAGTTATTCAGATATGCCAAGATCTGGAAGATGACTCTAACTGAAGAGCCAAAGGTAAAAATCGAGTTAGTATGATTCTAATCATCTTGAAAGTTTAAATTTGATCTTCAACCCAGGCCAATCTGTAGTGCTGATAGTGTTTCATTATGTGTTTTCTGTTCAGGTGTATTTTCACTGCACAGGCACTTTATTGGGATCATTTTCATGCTATATAATGAAGCCATTGCCAATTAGACAATTTTCAGACTATACTGCATGGTGCACCAAAATCTGATGGGACTTTTCTGCGTTCATAACTCCATCGGTTTAGACAACATCAACTGGCCAAAAGGCAGCCATGTTTTACAGATGGCTGTAGACACTCACTATTGGACCGCTCTTCTTGACCTCCTCTCTAAAAAAGATCATGGCACAGCTTAGTATGGCAAAGTTGCATCTAAACAATACACAAGAATTCTGGAACGATGTTCTTTGGTGCAGTGACACCAAGATGGAAATCTGTGGACATACTGCACAGCTCCACTTGTGGTAAAAACCAAGTCATTGAGCCAATCATGAACTCCTGTGTGTACCAAAGTATTCTAGAGTGAAATGTGATGCCATCTGTCCCATATGGAAAAGATATATATATATATATATATATATATACACATTTTATAAAGTTTGTATCTGTCTTGTGTGAAACTTGTATGAAAAGCATACAAGAGTGAAAACAGATATAAGATCCCTTGAAAAATGATATAAATGAAACTTGTATGTTTTGGATACTTACTAAAACAATATATGAAAGTGGCCACTTTCATGAGTAAATCATATAAGCCTTATATGATTCACAATATGAAGTAGGCCACATCTTATGCAAGTCTTTTATGTTTTTACTATTTCTTTTCCATACATCTGACAGCTAAAGCTTAACTGAAGCTGGTTCACTCAACAGGACAAAGATCCTGAGCACGGCAGTAGGTCTACAATAGAATGGCTCAAAAACAAAAGGGTCAATGTCTTGCAATGGTAAGGTCCAGACCTCAAATTCAACTCGATTGACATACTGTAGTGGGATTTTACACTAGATTTTAATGTAGAAGTCATTAAATGTGAATGTCCAAGTCAAAGAGAGTGAGCGAGACAACAGAAGCTTCAGCCGTTTTGTGTCAGTAGGAGTTGTGTCCTGGTTCAAGTCATTCAGAGCTCTTGCTGCTGCATCGTTCAAATGCAAATTCAATTCATCAATTTAAGAAATCATCCATCCATCCATTTTCTTAACTGCTTATCCAATTCACGGTCGCGGAGGGGCCTGGAGCTTATCTCAACTGTCAGTCCACAAGAGGAGGGGTACACCCTGGACAGGCCACCAGTCCATCACACGGCTATTTGAGCAATCGTTTTAATTTAGCAATTTTTAAAGTATAGACCAACCTCCATATCCCCCATTTGTTATGGATCATTGCCCCCCTAGAGGATTTATTTTCTTTATTGCTACATTTACTGTATTCATGTACAACTGAATTGGATTCAAATCCACACTAAAAATAAAACAAAATAAAACACGCAGAAATTCTCAAACACGTACTGTCTGTTTGTATAGTCACTTCATTATCCCTTTCTCAAAGCAACTGGTTTTAAAAGAGGTGCATGACTGAACTTCAAAGACTTGTATGACAGACTATCTTGAGGTATATTTCATGATATTTTTGCATCATTAAATTATTGGAGTCACACCACAGGCTAAGAGACGTAGTGCTGCACGTGAAACTCAGTTTAATGACATGATGCCCGTGCAGTTGCACTACTGTGTCATCATGCAATAAAAACCGCTAAAGAAAGCAGGGTCTTGTTGGGCAGTGTATAACATGCTGCGTCAGTTTTGCACTTTATGTCTGGGCTGTTGTGCTCCTCCTACCAGGGTTAAAGAACCAGGAGTCCATCAAACAGACAGCCCTGACCCCAACACAGGAAGCACCTGATCTCCTAAGGAAGCCGCGTGCACTCTTCCGTTCCCCCTCATTTGCAGGCAGCACCCGACCTGTATCACTGGAGGGATGAGAGCTTGTTGCTGGAATGTATGGTGTAAACATCTGCAAACCATCAGGCAGGAGCCGTTGGAGAGAGAAACAAATTTGTCCTCAGTGACAAATTTTCATAAAAACAATGAGGGGATAATCTCATTTTAAGCATACTTTTGATTCCATGTTTGAATTTTATTATATTCCAGGTCATCATTTTTCTTGATAACAAGAATGTGGTATCAGGTGCTGAGAGATAGTCACGTACTTGGATGTACATTGCTGGAAAACATTCCTTTACAAACTGTAGCCATATGAAAACTGCAATCATCAAATGACATTTAAAACATGACTCTCAGAGCACTACACAAGTTAATGGATAAGGTATTGTAAGATAGAGTTGTACTGTGGACACGTGTGTGGAGCCAAGCATGCCTGAGAGCAGGACTTTATCATTGTAATTCCATGATGGATGCTTTAGGGCCTAAAAGCAGTGCCTCCTGTCTTGCCACTGGATTCCACTCATGGCTCTTTGTCCACTGACTATGCAGAATTACTCTGTAGTTGGTTTGGCTTGTTCTACGTAAATGAAAAACACATACAGTTAGGATTACATAGAATTTCTCCAGAATGTCTGCATTGCAGTGTCTGGATGCAACTGCAAAAATGCAAACTGTAGGGTAGAGATATGTATTCTGCACATGGGCTACATTAGGTTTTTTTTTCCTTCTGCAAACTATTTGACATTGTGCATACAGTGCATCCCAATGTAATGCCCCTTTGCATTATATATACACATACACACACAGACATACACCAGCACTGAACAATGATTTTTCTCATTCCAGTGCAATATCCCCTGTGCGAGCCAGATGTAAGGAGAAGAGGAGGATGAT